CAATAAATATCATATACTTTAATACTTTTACTCAAGTAATATTCTAAACGGTGACTTCAACTTCTACCAAAGTCATTTTCTGGTAAGATATCTGTACTTTTACTTGAGTATGGCTTTCAGGTACTTTATACACCACTGGTTTCTTATAAACACAGCCTTTCAATGTACAAGATGTTAACTGATGGACTGGAGTCGTGTAGATTACCTACTTGTGGATTATTGTGATGTTTTTATCAGCTGTTTGGACTCTCATTCTGACGGCACCCATTCACTGCAGAGGATCCACTGCTGAGCAAGTGATGCAATGCTACATTTCTCCAAATCTGTTCAGATAAAGAAACAAACTCATCTAAGCCATCTTTGGATGGCCTGAGGATGAGTACATTTGCACCTAATTTTCATGTTTGAATAAACTATTACTTTCTAGATGTAGTTATCATTATCATCCTTGGTGTGCACAACCTTTTAAGATTTTTTTTTTAAAAAGGTATGAGAAATGATTGTTTGTGGTAATCTACATTATGCCACTAATGGTGTCAACTTAACTTCTGCAGCCATAACTTTTACATAGACAGTATATGGACAATATTATACACACAGGCTACGTCATTTATACATTTAATTAATTTTGTCGTTGTTAAGCATTCACCTGTAGGCCACTCTTGTTGAATTGTTTCAGATCCAGCTAACTGAATGAGCAGGGAACTACTCCAGTTTTTGTCATGTAATCAGTGCAAAGGTGCCCAGGAACATATTTGCAATATGGAATAACACACTAATAAGGAGGCACGCAAACTATGTCTTCCAAAAATCTGTGGTTAGTTACAACATCAAATGAAGCTGGCCAAAGAGAGTGAATTGTCTAAGTGCAAAAATACACCACAAATTCCATTTAAAAAATGTATCCTGAAAAATGATCCTGTGTTTCCAGTGCATATTCCAGCACAATAAATTTAAGAAGCATTTGGTAGAAGTTAGAAAAATATTTATCTAGAGGCCATGGTTATATTATCCAAATATTTGATTCAGTATTTGGTGGAACAACTCGACATTCCTCAAATCCGCCAAAGAAAATCTCAAATAAACTTGTCGTTTTGCACATTATGTGTTTTGTCATTTTTTAAAGTACAAATAACATTGTATGGGTAATATATAACATTTTATTGTTCAAAGATTTCTCCTTTTCATCATCTAGCACTAGTTTTTGCACATGACCACCAGCCTGATGTTACAATAACACTCTTTTGAGTTACAGACAGATTTTGTTACATTGGTCAGCTGTTCAGAACTGTGTTCGCTCTGGTCCGGTCCCAAAACTAGCTATATTTGGTTATCAACCACCTCCAGGAGTCTATTTTAGGCTGTGGGAAAAGTTAGGCCATCTTCATTGAGAACTCTGCGTCACTGTCTCGCTAACGGGAAAGACCCACACATATCATGGGAAAGCGTTATTTTGGTGTTCTTCCCCAAATAGCTGCTCTATTTTTGGAGTGTCACTCTTAGTTTTGACCCAAAAGACCGTTTAACACATCATTGAAATGGTAACTGAAACGTGAACTTGATGAAGCACTTCCACGCGGAGCCGCTGCCTCCCACAGGAACAAAACACCGTCGGGCTCTATCTACTGCTCACACCTGAGTATAGCACAATTAATAAGAAACCTTCATGAAGGAAACCTTGTGCATCAATTTAAGACCGGTTACTCAGAGGACAAAAATATCCATGTCAAAAAACGGTCGTAAGCATATTATATATATTAACATTTTCCCCCGACAAAAGTCTTTTTTAACAACTCAGTCCATAACTACCAAGAAAAAAAATATATCATTCACTCACACACATTTATCAGGACACATACAAACCACACTCTGATATCCATACCAATACACCCATTACATAATTAATTACATCATTTAAATTCAATTGGCTTTTTTTTTTCCAGCAGATGCAGAAAACTGGAAAAAGTGAGTATTTGCTCAATAGATCAAAGCTGACAAAATGCTGCTATCAGGTGGGTAAAATAAAATACAAATAAATAAAAGTATATAGTACATGTTTTGAAGCCTATTAACAAAGGCCCTTTTGTCCCCTGCTTATGACGGTGAAAGATTACTATTATTTATTATTTAAATGTGTTCTAATGTCCCAATGTTGAGCTAGTGAAGCACTTATTGTGTATAATATTAGGAGATGTTCTGTAGAAAGATTTCTGCATAACAAACCATAAAGATTTTATTACATTAGTGAAAGCCATTTGAAAACGTTTGAACTTCAGTCATTTTAATGACAGTCACAAAACATACTGCGCAGATGAATTTTTAAAAAATTGTATTTTATTTTTTCTGGATGATGCATTTATGATGATTTTTTAAAATAAAATAAAATAATAAAAGGGTTATTTTAAGGTTATGCAACTCATATGGACCATGTCTATAGTAAAAGAAACCATAAAGATTTTATTACATTAGTGAAAGCCATTTGAAAACGTTTGAACTTCAGTCATTTTAATGACAGTCACAAAACATACTGCGCAGATGAATTTTTAAAAAATTGTATTTTATTTTTTCTGGATGATGCATTTATGATGATTTTTTTAAATAAAATAAAATAATAAAAGGGTTATTTTAAGGTTATGCAACTCATATGGACCATGTCTATAGTAAAAGAAAAAAAAAACTAAATTAAATGAGACGAAAAGATAATTTTCTGGTATTTTCAAAAAAAAAAAAAAGTGTTTAATATGACATGAAGGTGGGGAAAATAGTGACTGATTTTTATTTTTCATTTTCGGGAGATGTTATGATGCATCTTTAAACTGGCATTAAAATAAAATAAAAATAAATATTGATCTGACAAGAGTAACTATAGCCTGGAGTGAAGTATGTTTTCTGTTTTTTTTTCTTCTTCTTCTTCTAATTTCTATAACATCTAACAGACATCCAAAGAGGTCAAAATGTGAATTTGCTTCCATGGCTCTCTGCTAAGAATTGTGGGCAATGAAAAAGTGCCACACAGACATAAAATAAAGAGAGGCACTAAAAAAAAAGTGCTATAAAATATCAGAAGGATCATTCAAACTACGGGTAACTGAGCTGAATTTATACAACGTGACAGTAAGCAGAAATAGATAACAAATCAAAATGTTACATTCACAGTGGGAACATGATCGGCCACAATCCCTGCATACACTGTCCTCTACTGGACAGAGTATTTCAAATACAAACACAGTGCATTGATGGCTTACTGAGTCTGCTGCAACTGCTGCATGATTCTTCAGGAATCAAGTTTATTGGTAACTGAGTTTCAAATATGATTTATTATTATTAGTGTTTTACTTTGAAGAATTGCACATATAGCCACGGAAAGAACTGTTCAAAGCAGATTCTTTCCGTGGCTGCTATATAATGATTTACATTAGTCCTCTTTCATTCATCAAGGCATATTTGGGGTAAATTTTATATTTAAGGATATTTGTGTAGCATACGATTATACTGAAGAGTAAAATGTACCCACGTTTTTTTTTTGTTTTTTGAGTGTAGGGAAAAGCCTTAAAAACGACCCTTTATATGAAATTGCAATGTAAAAGTTAAATGACCTTGTCCATTCCCTGCTTTAATTGCTATCTAATATCTAACATTATCAATGTTGAAAACATTTGTGCTGCTTAATATTTTTATGTGGATATCATGATATCAAAAAGTTTTTAATGCATTTATTAACATTTATTCAGCAAGGATGCATTAAACTGATCAAAATGGAGTGCAACTATTTATAATGTTACTGACGATTTCTATTTCAGATTACTTTTCATTTAACTTTCTTTTCATCAAAGAATCATGAAAACAAAGTATTTTTCACAAATAAATAAATAAATATTTAATAAAAATTAGGGCTGAACGATAAATCACATGTGATATTTAACGCGCATCTTGTTAGTAAAGCCGGTTCTGTAATCAGTGGTAAATCTCCATCACGTGCGTGCTTTCACATTGAGCAGCATTAACTGCACAGAGCCGTTGTTCACTGACGAGCTGCGCAAAACCACATTCAAATTCATGCGATTTTTTGCGCAGCTTGTCAATGAACTGCGATTTATCGTGCAGCCCTAATAAAAATATAATTAAAAAGGAAGTAAACACTGTAACCAACAGGGCACTCAGTATTCTGGGAAGTTTGTATGCATTGGGAATCATATTTTTTCAAATAAAGCCAAGGTAACACTCATTTTACATACAGCACACAGTGAAAATGACATGAATATGACAGTGGGCAAATACATAAAGCGCAGCATAATTTGAAATCACGAGTTTAAAGTTTGTCGATTGCGCGTCTCCAGTGAAGCTGAACTCCCCTCCTGTCCGTATTCAATTCGCACGGACCATAGGACCGACTGTCACAGAACACGCGATCATGCAGGTCACATGCACACTTCACAAGCTATCAACTAGATTTGACTAAGTCTGTAAGGTTTGTGAAATTAAATGTTCATTAGTCATTCAAAGATTTATTTAAATTATATATATTTTACGGAATGCTGATGGCAAACGAGAAAGTATTATAATGTTTGCCTTTAATAATATTAAAGCAATCGTTATAATACTTTTTTAGTATTTTTTATATTTTATATTTTAGTACTTTTTTAATTCCTTTAATAGTTCTATCTGATTATTAGATAAACTTCTATCCGTATTAGACAGAACTGTTAACGATGACAGCGAACAAGAGGGAGAATGTGAGCACAGTGTGCTCAGGCGCTGCCGCTCTCAGCGCCGTCAAAATAAAAATCTGCCTCGTACACATCGTCCAAACAGAAAAACATATCGGCCGATGCCGATATTTGAAAAATGGCAGTTATCGGCCGATATATCGGTCGACCACTAAAGATTATATTTGTTGTACTTGCTACTTATCACCAATATTAGACTAATTATAATTACAATCCTCTAAACAGACTGAAACAGAATATGGGTGATATTTACAAGAGACTGATGCAAAACCAATTAGGATTTATGGCTTACGTTAAAATTTTAATTGCAGTTACCTTATAAATCTCCTCATACGTCTCCTCATCGATTTCCACAGTCGTCACTGTCTCTTCAACATCTCCAAGGATCATGTTCAAGTGCTGGTCATAGGCCTAATGTGAAAAAATAATAAGAATAAAAAACAAACAAACAAACAAATATACACTGCTGTTCAAACGTTTGGTATCGGTAAGATTTTTAAGGTGTTTTAAAGAAGCCTCTTCTGTTCATCAAGGCTGCATTTATTTGATCAGAAATACAGAAAAAACAGTAACATTGTAAAATATTATTACCATTTAAAATACTGGTTTTCTATTTTTATACATTTTAAAATGTAATTTATTCCTGTGATGCAAAGCTGAATTTTCAGCATCAATACTCTGTCTTCAGTGTCACACGATCCTTCAGAAATCATTAAAATGTGCTGATTTATTATCAGTGTAGGAAACAGTTTAACGGCTTAACATTTCTTTGGAACCTGTGATACTTTTTTTCAGGATTATTTGATGAATAAAGTTAAAAAGAGCAGCATTTATTCAAAATAGAAATATTTTGTAACAATGTAAGTCTTTATTATCACTTTTTATCAATTTAACACATCTTTGCTGAATAAAAGCATTAATTTATTTCAATAAAAAAAATACTGACCCCAAACTTTTGAACAGTAGTGTATATTGTTACAAAAGATTTCTATTTTAAATAAATACTGCTCTTTTTAACTTTATTCATCAAATAATCAAACTAAACCAAAGTTTTGAACGGCAGTGTGTATATATATTTATAGTTAGTAAATTATATAAAATTTTATTATTTAATTATATTAAAAAGTTTGATTGTTTGATTCTAAGTTATCTATATAATGTAAAAGTAAACGTTGACTGTTGAGCAAGTAATTTAGGGTTATTACAGTAAACTAAAACCATAAAATAAATTGTTAATTCAATTAAAATAAAATTTAACTGAAATAAATAAATAACGTATTTTATTTCAGCTAGTTGCCAAAGCAATATTTCTCATTTTCATTTTATCCTAATACCCAATACTAAAACTAGAATAAAAACTATACAGACATATAAAAGAATACAATTACAAAAAAAATAAAAAGAAACTTTTACGAAAATTACAATGCACTAAATATGAAAAACTAATAGTATTACATTTATATTAAATAACCCCAATGTAATTAAATTAGAAGAGCTTAATTTCTTTTATCACCGTGTTGTTCTGCGGTAACAAACTTTTAAAAGGAATGAGATTTGCTCATCAGTAAAAACACAGGCAGCTTAATGAACGAGAGAGAGAGAGAGAGAGAGAGAGAGAGAGAGAGAGAAGGAATGGGGGGGCGCGAGAGGGGGGGGGAGTGA